TTTTAAATGAACTGGGAACAATGTACACATGCCTCATAAGAACCCGTGATCTAACTAGGGACCACATTTTTAATGAATGGAACCAATGCTGTTGTTTCCACCAACAGTTTTTCCACTTTGGTGCATCAGAGCAAGATGCTTCCTGCTGGGACCACTTCCCATTTGACTTGTCTCTTCCCAGAACTGCCTCTTGAATCAAGCCATTATTGTAATTTCATTATGAAACACTATGGAAGGGCTGATACCAAAATCTGCCCATTCCTTCTCTTAAATCATCTTTTAAATGGCAAATTTTCTAAAATGCCTTAAATGCTTTGGTAGAAAGACAGAGTAAAAATGTTGTAAAATAAATAAATAAATAAATTCTTACCTACCCACATGTACCACTGCATGCTGTAATATATTTATGTATGTCTCTTATGCATGCATTTTCTCAAGGGGGGAATAAGTGAAAGGAAAGGGAAGCTGTGGCATGAAAAAGGTACACCAGTTCAAATATTATTATCAGGAATTCTTCCATGGGGGCGTAATATTAAGACAGTAGATGCGTGACTCAGGGTAAAGCCAATACACAGAAGAATAATGAAATCAACTTGGGAAGCAACTGTAAAAGCGGCCAGCTATGGTTGCTCCCATCCTTATACCCTGTATCTGGGATAACCAGCTTTTTTAAGGGACCATGGACCAAATTTCTCCAGCGCTGAAGACCACATTCCAGTAGTGGATAGGGCTGGACCCAAAAGTAGGCAGGTCAACACACACACACAAAGATATTCCCCATATATTTAATTCTTTAACAACTCCACTTAAGTTCCACTGTCCATTTTCACCACACAATTTTTCAAAATTTTCACCAAAGAGCTCCAGCACCTTTTCTGTCTGAAAGCTCATTAAAAGCCTGCAAGTTAACATTAACGAATAGGTGACCTGCAAATCCTGAATCATAGTTATTGAAAGCATCAAACTTCAAAATGCAATTGCATCCTGAAAGTGCATGTATGCGTCTGAAAAGCATATAGACATTGCAGCATATTTGCAAGAAACACAAGTCTACTTCTTTTCCAAGATAAGCATTCCCTTTGCTTTGATCTTCTTCCAGGTGAAGGGGCTACAGTTATACAGTTTGCACAACATCAAAATCATTTCCCATTTAGCTCCTCCCCACTGAGAAGAGGGGAAGGAGGGGATCCAGAGAGCCAGCTAAATGCAGTGAGGAGATCCCATTCCTGCCCTAGATGGAATATGCAGAACGCATCAGATGGTGGGGCACTCTCATTTTAGGTGAGCTTCTAACAGCTGACACTGAAAGTGGGAAGCTCCTAGAAGTTTAAGATTGCTCAACAAGGCAGATGATGGCTTGTTGAGACCCAGAAGAGAACCAGTTTTTCCTTCCCAAAACTTAGCAATCTTACCATGATGCCTTTGCACTGTATCAGGCATCCCTATCTACCCCCCCCCCCCGAGTTTCTACGTGTTGGACAGGACTGCAGAAGCCTGGCAATCTGGACTTTCCCATTGAGCTCTTCAGACTATACCTCAGAACGATTATAACTATTCCATAAATATCCCAGATTAATTCTGATCCCAACATCAAATCCACTTAAGAGACTTAAAAAGACCGAGTCGTCAAGGCCATAGCTCAGAGGCTGCTCCCTTAGCAAGTCAAGAGAAATACCTTATCAAATCGTAGTAAATGATTTCTAGCATGTCACTTGGCAAGACGGAACCTGGGGTGTGGAGGGGGGCTATCTGAGCCAGTCTCAAGGTCTCCAGCCCAGTCTTTTTATACAAGGAACTCTCAGCTGCTAGATTAGAAGGATTTCATTTAGTTTTGAAAACAGTCCTCTTGTTATGAAAGCAAGAGATTTTCTTCCCTGCCAGCAGGCACGTGCCCTTTCAACTGATGGAGTTGCCCTGACACACCCATTGGCATATTCCATTATTATTATTATTATTATTATTATTATTATTATTATTATTAATTTTGTATGTTTCAAACCATTTTATCAGTTCTGGTCCATTCGTTTTAAAGCTACTGGTAACACACTTTCTTTGAAGTTGTATTTTCTAAAATGAATAGCACTGCCCTGCATAATTAAAGAAAGCATGTCATCCTATCTAATTGGGGGGGTGTCATTATCATGGGGGGAATTGGATACGAGCATTGACAAGATTCAAAATATAAACAAGAAGTCTCTTAAACACATTTCTACACTGTACAGTTTAAACACACAGCCTGCCAAACAGAGCTGAGCTGTGGGGACCGAATAACACATAGTAACAAGAGCAGAGTGTTGTTTTAGATAATCCACTATAACCTAACTCCCTGGTTGAAATCAGCTCTGCACATAAGCAATTGACACTATTCCTTTGAGTTCATTCTTTTAAAATGGTATTTGTACACACAGTATCAAACACAAAGCTTATGACCTTTGTAAGTAATGTATAATTTTAGTAATAGATCCATGAAACCAAGTAGTTTAACCAAAAGCTTTTGTATGCTGCAGGAATGTAAATAACTACTTAATGATCTGTCCTTGATAAATGCGTATTGCTGTCTCTACAGGACATTTGGAACATCACACTCCATGTATATAAACCTTAGTACAAGAAAGCCTTCACTTTTCTTTGCAAGGTTCTAACTGCATACCAAAGAGCCCGCATAGTCAATTATTAGTTTACATCAATTTATTTTGTAATTAATTCTACCCAAGTTAAAAACAATTGTAGCATTGAGCATACATTCTAAAGGATAACATACAGTGATTAGTTTTAAATTATGTGCATGTGTGTCACACAACAGGTGCCATATCAGAAGGCAACTTCTGCCTTCTCACTCAGAAGGTGATGCCTCTTAAGATGCCATCAAACATTGGTCACCACCAGTACTATAAACACTTTAACACAAATAGTTATTTAGATATATGATCCAAAATCAATTGTGAAGACACCATTTATCAGTCACAATGTTTTAATTCAATTTACCTCAGGAATGGGGAACCTGTGTCCCTCCAGATGTTGTTGGACTCCCTCCCCCCCAAAAAAAAACTTCCATCAGCTGCAGCAACCAGCCAATGGACAGTGTTGATGAAAGCTGGAAGCCAACCACAACTTGGAAGACATGTGTTCGCAGGTCCTCATTCTGGGGTAAATCAATGAACCAATGCAGACCCAGAAAGCAGAAATATTCTTCTCCAAATCTACTTTCTTCCTTACTATACTGCAACTAACCAAGCAGCTAGCTATAAAAGTTTGATGAGGAAGTTTTTTTTTTTAAGAGCTTCCAAAAGTTTATCATGAAACGTAAAAGCCAAGCCTGACACCAAGAGCCAGATAACCAATGCCTTAAACATTTCAATCTGTGAAAGTAGGTAAGAAATGGGCTTTTCCATTCCTACTTAAATTCTATTTTAAGCAGGTAAAGAGAGAGAGTCGGGCATGTGTAGTTCTTTAACTACTACTGAATTGGCCTTACTTTAAGCAGTAATGCATTTAAGCAGGTCCCCATGCACAGTGAGCAGTACATGATTAATTAAAGATTAAAGCACTCTGTAAATAGACTCAGGATTGAGAGCAAACAGGTTTCCAAAGATCAACAAGTTTAGATTTGAACTAGTCACAGTTTGGAAGGGGGTGGCCACCTGCCAATGTTTACTGACCGTCATTCTGTCCGTTTCAGGATCAGCAGCTCCTCCTCACTCCACCTCCCGAGTCACCAACCAAACGCCACTAAGCACACTGCCTCGTTCTGGACTAGAGGCACAACCCCTTCTCCTGAACTAGGAAGCACCGGCGGGATTCTGCACATCCCTTTCCCAAACATCTCTCCCTCTCGGAAGGCCCCTAGATCCAGGAATATATGACCAGCGCTAGGGCAGTTTTGTTTTCCCTTGCAGGCAAGCTCCGCAAGACTCGAGGCTCTAACTCCAGAGGAATCCCGTCGGCCCTGGTGGGGAACAAATCTGAATTTAGTCGGAGGCTGCAGCTTTCAGCCAGTCTTGCTGCTGAAGCGAAATAAGACTGGGTGGATGCCAGAGAACTGCGCGCTGCTTTGCCTCCTCCTAGTTCTGCTCGCATCTATCAGAAGTCAAGAACAAGGACGAACCAAGTAAAAGCAGATACCTTAGCACAAAAGGAACGGGGGGGGGTCAATTTCGCAGAAGTCGTAGCCACACAACCTGCCTCACTCCTTGCGTTTGTCCCACGACCCTCGGGGCAGAGAGAACGGAGGCCAAGTACCCTCCAGTAGCGCCGTAGGTAACCAAACCGCCTTGGGTACCTACCTCGGACCTCCAACCTCTCACCCACTGCAAACATTCCCTGGCTATACCGCACCACAGTTGCTCCAAGATGCGCTTGTGCGCTTGGCAAAGCCGGCAAACGGACCGGTTTGTACACTCTGCTTCCACCACCCCGCGTCCCCAAGGCGTCCCTCGCAAGCCCCCGCTTCCTTACTTCTCATCCTTGGCGTTCTCCTGGAGGTCCCCCGGCGGCGGCAAGGCGGGCAGGGCCGCGTGCTGCTGTTGCAGGAGCAGCAGCCTGCATGTGGCCAGGTGCCGCTGGTGCTCGTCCTGCAGGCGGGCGTTCTCGTGATACAGCTTGGCCACTTGCTGCTCGAGCTCGTCTATCCGGAGCTTCTGCTTCTCCAGCAGCTCCTGCTGCGTCTCGATGATCTTGTTGAGCTCCTTGAGGTACTCCGCCGCCTTGCTCGGGTTCTCCGCCGGGGTCTCCATGGCCCCGGCCAGCCCGGCTGCCCGCCACGCACCTCGGCGGGCCCCGGGGGCCGGCCAAAGCGCCGAGAGGGCCGGCGGCGGCGGCGCCCGGACGCTCAGCTCGGCTGCGCAAACAAGCCAAGCCAAGCCACCAGTCCGGCTACACCTTTTCCCGCCCAGTCGCAAGTCCGCTTCTCGGCTAGGGAGCGCCGACGCAGCTGCTCGTACTTCGAGCCGCCATTGCCCACGGGCCCTCCTACGGCTCCCGGCCGGGCTCGCTGCTGCTGCTGCTGCGCCTACACCCAGAGGGTCCGGCTATTGCGCGGCTGTGGCGCGCGGGGCTTCCGCTTCTCCACTTAAGGCAACCGCCGCCGGCTCGCTTCCTGCTCCTCCTCGCCAACAAAACCCCAGGAAAAGTCTCCGCGGACAACCCCGTGGTTCGCTCGAGGCTAGTTTCCTTCACCTCCGCCGCTTCCCTCGTTAACTCCTCCTGGTCGGTCGGTCTCTCTCCCCCCTCTTGCTTGCCACCTCCTCCCGGTCTTCCGCTCACGCAGGCGCTTTCTCCGCTTCTCCCGTCGCTGCTCTTCTTAAGCAGCAACAGCCGCTTCCCTACGCGCGCCAGTGCGCGGGGTCCTGCGTGGAGTTTGCAAAGTGCCGCCGCTCCCTGACAGGGCGTCGCGCGGCTTCGCGGACTCTGGGGAGGAGCTGGTCTTGGCGAGCGGCTCCTCGCAGCGCCCCGCTGCCTCCTGCTGACTAACTGATTGAGCCGCTGCCGCCGCGGCGTCCTCCTCCCCGGGCCGCCGGGCAGGCGAGTCAGTCAGAGCGCGTCTCTCCCTCTCTCTTTCCCCTTCTCTCTCCCACACACAAACACATACGTACACGCCCCGGAACGGCTGAGAAGCAGGCTCCAGAGGGGCAGGGAGGAGGAGGAGGAGGAGGGACGGCTGGTGATAGCTGCAGGACGGGCTGCGACAGCGGGGGCCTGTGCGCCTGGGAGGGGTGGAGATATCCCCCGGGGGAGCTGCGCCCTCGGGGGCAAGCGAGCGAGCCGGCGGCGGGTCGCCTCAGAGCTGCTCCTGTTTTGGCGGGAACGCGCGAGGAGCCCCGTGCAGCGGCACCTTCGCGGGCGGGCAGGTGGGCTGGAGAGAGGGCAGCGCCCCGCTCCTCCCCCACCTCGCGCTCCGCTCCGAACTGGGCGGCATCTCTGCGAAACTGACGGGCAGCCCAGCGAGGCAGAAGCCCCTCAGGTAAGCGGGGTGGCGGGAGGTTACTGCGCGCGCACGCGTGTGCAGAAAGCGAAGTGTGTTTGGGATACGAGGGGCGAGTTCTTTCCCTTCCTTAAAAAAATGTTTTAGTCTCCGTCTTGCTCGGAGCCCCCACCGAGCTGGCCGACCACAAATCCCAGCAGCGACGGGAGTTCCGTTTTTGTGCTCTCCCGCCCGCCGGATCAACCACGTCTGCAGGCAGCTTGCCGACCACCATGCTCCTGTTTCTCTCAATTTCTCCTCCTCTTTGGTAGCGCTGAACTTGCCCTGCTGCTGCTGCTCCTGCTGCTCCCGGATTTCATAAGAGAATATTGAATTTCTGAGGAAAGGAGGGAGGGGTGCGATGGCATGAGGGAGAAGCCGATTGCTAATGCCTCAGCGGGCGGCCGGGCGCGCGCTCTTCTCCCCCTCCGCCCGCCCCGCTCCCCTCCTTCCCCCTGGGAGGAGAGAGAGAGAGAAGCGGGGATGTTATGGAGAGCGATGGGCTGACAGAAGGCTGCTGCTGCCAAGAGCCGAGGCTGTTTTGAAAACATCGCCACCCGGCGCTCCAGGCGGCGGCTCTCTAGCCATATGCCTGGAGTGACGCTTCCTCTGGTTGGCAACTGCTGGCGAGTAAAGCAGCAACCTGCCTCGCCTCGGAGTGGGAATACTCCCCTCCACGCACAAGCACCAACACTCGCACCCTCCTAGTGGGAACGCTGCATCCTCAGCCGAGGCTGCATCAGGTTGGAGGGAGAGGGAGAGAGGAGCTCATGTGGGGAATCTTTTGGCAGCGGCCCAACGCTCTGACTGAAGAGGTTATCGAAAACAAGCTGGCTTGGGGAGTTGAAAAAAAGAGTGAGGAAGTATGTTAGCCAAAGGGAGCTGACAGGCAGGAAGTGCGACCCCTTGATTGTTTTCTTCGTTCCTTTCCTCTTCCTAATCACCTCCCCCCCACCCTTCTCTTCTTCAAAATCACTTCCCCTAAGTTTCTTAATTTTTACTGATACTCAAATGCCGCAGTAGCTTTTGCCGCTTCGCTAATTTCACTGCCCCCTCTTCTGCAAAGTCAGCTCCTCTGGAACCTGGGCTGCAATTCTTGCTAACACTTGACAGAACAGGCAGCTTGACTGAAGAGAGTGATTCAGCACCGGAGGTGACCTGCGGGCAGCTGATAGCAGAGCGAGGAGGTAAGGACTTCCTCCCCCCTCCCCATCCCCACAACATTCACACACCTCCAGAACACTCCTTCCACCGCAGGCCCATTGACTTTCATGTGGTTTCTCTGGAGCAAATGGGCTGTAAATAGCTGCCTTCAAAATTATCTTTAGAAAAATATATAATCTGTGAATGTCTCATGAAAGTATATCTAGCATTTCAAATTGCCTTTTTCACTTCACTGTTGTATAAAAGGAAACTAAGCTAAAAAACAACAACAAATGGACTCCAGTATTGAGCTATAGAATTTTTCTGTAATCATACTTTTAACTTCCAAAGGTTATCGACACGTTTTAAGATGAACATGGGTTTCTTAACCAAAGCATGCTGTAAACAGAACTATGATATCTGCTGTATCTGTCTTCCTAGGGGATGTATGTAGCCTCCAACTTCACAGGGTGCAAGCAAAAAAGGATAAATATGCTGCCTAAAATTATTCACTGGGTGATGTCAAGATTATTGATAGAAAATATCAAATCCCAACATATTTCATGTCCTGTGCTCTTCAGTGGACATTTGCAATAAATAAAGGATGAAAGTTTTGCTTCTTCAGTCCTTGGGTTTTGTTGAAATAGCCTTATCAGGTGTGCATAATTGGGTTTGACTTATCTGAAATAATTACTTGTATTCTAGCTGGGCAAGTATTCTTCCAACACTTACAGTGTGAATCTGGGCATGAGTTCAGTGGGGCTTACTCCTGTTGACAAGTTTTCATTAGAATGAGGCTTCCTATTCTGAACATGCCTCATAACTGCATCAAAGTCTTTCACTTTTTCTGATCTGAGACCCTCCTTTAACCAAACATGCTAAGATCCTCTCTTTTTTAGCATATAATTGTATGGTGGCAGTGATGCTGTTTCAACCCACCTTAGATCAGAATCTTACCAGGTACTGAGTCCCAACCTACAAGATGAAGACCAATGGTCTGCATCAAATACGTGAAATTTTATCCTGAGTTTCTGGTTGCAGAGTGAGGAAAGGAAATTGTCAAAACTGAGGTCAGAAGTAAAGGATATGCCAGAATATCTGTGTTAACAACAACTGTTTTTTGTGAATAACCCCACTGATGATAATGTTTATATTTTTCTACAATTCATGTCCTGACCTTTCTGGAAAACACATCATACATCAAAAAAGCTTGTACCATAATCCGTTTGGGTGTTAAAGTACCACAGGACTTCTTCTTCTACTTTCCCCCCCCTTTATCACCGCTGGGATAGTTTAAATTTTCTTTTTGCAGACTCCATGGAGTGAGTTTTACATGTTTGTATCCAGCAAAGTCATTCCATTAGCACAAGGAGCTTTGCCTGTGTGATGAGACTTCCTGTCTCTTTATGCCCTTGCCCCCCCCCATCTGCTCTGGAGTGTTGGAATAACCCTCAGAGTAGATGTGGGGGCATGCAGGGAAAGGAAGGCTCATTTTGAAGACAGACATATGAAGAGGCTGCTGGATCAGGCTAGTAGCTCATCTAGTCCAGCATCCTGTTCTCATAAAAACCAGCCAGATGCCCATGGAAAGCCCAATAGCAGAACCTTGCCCAATAGCAGCACTTTCTTTACTTGTCATCCCAGCATCTGTCATAAAGAGGCATGCTGCCTCTGACAATAGAGGATATAGCCATTGCAGCTAGTGTGCAGAAGTCCTTGCACTAATGGGATGACTTTGTTGGATACTACCCTTAGTTTATATGCTTCTACAATTTTGTGCTTAGGTTACTCTAATGTGAAGTCGTCATTGATGTGCTATATAAATTAGAATATTATATTTTTTTAATGACAGTATTCTAATAGATCAGCTGGAATAAAAAGACTTAAATTCACTGATTTCAATGGGTGTACTATGGTAAATACAGTATTGGATACCACCCTATTGTTTTTTGGAATGCTTCCCCAATAGGGGCACAGTTCCTTTCTTTAGAGGGGAAAAATAACCAAGTTATTTTTGCAGCTGTTCTGCCTGCTTTGGTCATGTGATGCTTACCAGCATAAGGAGAATATTTAAGTTAAGACTATTGGAATTTTTTAGATTTCCTTTTTGACTTGAATTATTTTAGTTTGTTTTTATTATAAACTGGCTTGGGAGGTCTTGTGGTTAAAAGGTTTCCTATAAAGATAGGAAATCAATATTGATGGGGCAATGTCTTTTAGAGTTGCTGCCTCTCTCTCTTTCTTTTTGGTAAGTATTCTGTGCCTTTAACTATCTTGCTTAATCACAAGAAACATTTTCTTTTCCCAGGAACTGAGTCCTTATTTGCAGATTCAAACCAAACCCCTTTACTTTTCAAAGTCATGTTGTTTGTTTTCTTTTAGGAGCATCCAACACAGACCATAATAAACATCTCTCTTAGATATTTTCCATCTGCCTGTTAAGAACTTCCCCCACTTTCTACTCTCTGGGGATATCAGGAATAGCATCTACAGAGCAGAGTTCATTAACAGGTTAATTAGGTTAACTTGTCAGTCAAGGATAGCTACTTTCCCTTGGCTGGACAGAATCACCTCAAAACGCCTCTCTTAAGAAACAGGAAAAATAAAGCATTGTGTAAACTGGCTTAAAGGTTCTCTAAGAACAGCCTCTGGTTTGCTGGATGCTGCTGGGTTCCTGCCTGCAGTGTTTAGAGAGAAATCACAATTCTTCCCAGGAGCTTTAAACAGCCTATTCACTTCATTGCACCAGATGAATTAAGAAAGCTTGCCAACTAGGAGGGAGAAAGAGCATATTTATAGCATCAGTATCGCATTCAAGTTCTGTTCGCACAAAAGCCAATTGCAAGCTGCCTGTGAATGAAGATGCAGGGAATTGACTCTGGCCAGTTAGACAAACAGGAAATTTCAAATCAAACCTGATTAAATAAGAAATCTTAAAATGTTGTTTTTGATTACTTGCAGTAAGGCATACTTATGGCTGTAGCCTTGTCAATTCCCTGACAATGAGCAGAAGAGATTCATCCTTACATAAGGCAGTTCTCAGAAATCTAGGTCTTTTGGATTACTTAGAATATGTTGTATCTCTCTCCCCCCCCCCCCCGGATAACTTTGGGCAAGAATCTTTAGAATTCTTATCCTTAACACTACTTTAGTAGCATGGGTGTAGCGAGGATTTATTTTAGGGGGAGGGCAGGCATTATGTTAGGGGGGGCAGAACCAAGTTATCTGCAACACAATGGTCAGTTAGTTAAGTATTTTTATTTATTTACTTGATTTGGGTGGGGCAGCTGCACCCCCTGGCTATGCCCATGTATTAGGTAAAGGTAAAGGGACCCCTGACCATTAGGTCCAATTGCGGACGACTCTGGGATTGTGGTCTCATCTCGCTTTATTGGCCGAGGGAGCTGGCGTACAGCTTCCGGGTCATGTGGCCAGCATGACTAAGCCGCTTCTGGCAAACTAGAACAGTGCATGGAAATACCATTTACCATCCCACTGGAGCGGTACCTATTTATCTACTTGCATTTTGAGGTGCTTTTGAACTACTAGGTTGGCAGGAGCAGGGGCTGAGCAATGGGAGCTCACTCCGTCGTGGGGATTCGAACTGCCGACCTACTGATCGGCAAGCCCTAGGCTCTGTGGTTTAACCCACAGTGCCACCCGTGTCCCATTTATTAGTAGTTAGTTAAAGCTTTTAAGGAATGGAGGCTTTACCGTGCAATACACAAAAAGGTGCAAAGCCCTTAACAATTCATTTGATGGAACAGGTGGGCTGAGGGAAAAGTCGGAGAATCTCTTGTTGTTATTTAATGATTGACCACTTTTCCTTGGGAAGGAACCATGTGCATTTTGATCTGATCTAGCCAGGCAATGATTATTTTCTCAAAGATTCATTATTCTGTTTCCATCAGCAGCCAACCTGATGCCTTGGGAAGCTGTTGGCCATGCCCCATTTGTCCTGAGTGTTTTATATTCATCTTCTTTCTCCCATATGCTAAACATCTCTAGCTGCTTTGTTATTTCTTTGTAGGAAAGGCACTTTAACTCACTCCCTAGTCCACTGACAGCACACTGGTGGTTGAAGCCCAACTCCCATTAGCTCCAGCCAGCATGCTCAGTGGTTGGGGATGATGGTAGCTGTAGTGCCATAATCATCCGGAGAGCCAGAGGCTGCCCACCTCTAGAGAGAGCACAGCTCAGATAAAGAAAGTCAGGTAATCCAAAGTGGGTAAAGGTCTCAAGCTAGGTCTCAAGAAAGGAGAGTCTCAACATTTGGTATAACAAGCTCCCTTCCTTGGAAGGACAAAATTTAATTGTGAAATGAGTCTGGCTACTTGGGTCCATTCTGTGAGTTAACAGGATGGTCAAGAGTGCCTGTGGGTTGTTGTTTTTTAAATCCAACTGTGGCAGAACCAGATGGGGCCAAGGACAATGTGGTGAAAATCTACTGAGGGTTGCCTTTTTCACTGTCACCAGTAGGTCTGCATCTCTGCAGAGATGCCATATTTTCCATACAGTTGTGCTGCAATCATATATGCTCTTACTTGGGAGTGAGTCTTTCTGAATTTAAGGGAATTTACTTCTGAGTAGATATGCATATTATTGAAACCTGCCCAGTGGAACGCCCTCCCATCAGAAGTCAAAGAAATAAACAACTATTTGACTTGTAGAAAATTTCTGAAGACAGCCCTGCATTAGAGAAGTTTTTAATGTTTGATGTTTCATTGTGTTTTTAATATTTTGTTAGGAGCCGCTCAAGAGTTGCTGGAGCAACCCAGTCAGTTGGGCAGCATAGAAATAATAAAATGATGATGATGATTGGGTTTACATGACAGAAGATACGTTGCACTATTATAATTTCCTTTGTTGTGTAACATAAGTTAATGTTCATATGTCAACAATCTAACACACTTTTATTAATTTTGGTAGATTCACCCCTTGTTTCTCTTTTCTATTTGTTTGGGGTGGGGTTGTCCTATTGCAAGACAGAAAGAAGGCATAAAAAGACCTCGATAAACATTATTTTCCAGAAGTAATATCAGTA